TTATGTCTCTTTCCCAGCAGCACGTGTCTCCTTTGGCAGCACGTCTTCCTCAACCAGCAGTCAGAGCGAGCTCTGCCTCCAAGAGGCCTCCTTTTGAGCCCAGAAGGGTGGTCAAACTAGCCAATCACAGCATCAGAACTCTAAGCACGTGAGAGAGAGTGGGAACCTCCCAGAACATTGTATAAATCCCACCTTGGAGTTTACAAAGACTTATGGGTAGAAAAGCCACACTAAGTAATTAACTACACTGTAGAGGTCTTTTAGGACAAAGATAATGATAAAATTTCTTAAATGTATATAGTACATTGGTGTTTATAGAACACATTTACATAAATTATTTGGAGAGCATACAACTCTACACTTGTGGTTGTGTTATCCTATGTTTTTAAAGATTTGATGAAATGGAGTCCTCTCAAGGGTCTTTCTGCGAAGTCAGCAATGATCAGGATACATGTCTTACCACTAAAGATAATGTCACACTTGATAGTGAGTGGGGCTTTAATTTTAAATTTATTGTTATGATAAACCTACTTATTCTTTTTTAGGGCCACCTGAAAGAACCCTAAGTAAGCTACTGATCTGCTGTAGCATGGCAGTTCTTAACCCAAGATTCTTATGGGCTAAGTGACATTAGAATGCATTATCAGTAATCCAGCATGTGTTTAGTGAATAAGCCTTTTTCCTACTATTGTGGTGATCTGGCTCTGCTTGGTAATTTGATTTAGACTTGATTAACCATGAGAGAACTCATGTGTCTATATCTTATTTTAATTATTGAATTACAGTTACTGAATTGTAATAAAAATAAGAGCTGTGTAAAGGTGAAAATACAGAGTTTAAAAGTACATGTATAGAAAGAAGTGAAGTGGAATGTGGTTGGATGAAGATGGCAGCACGTTTAGTGTTGACTAGAGATGATCTGTGTTTGTGCAGTTGGGGGATGGTGAATAGGAAGAATTAGGCTGTAATGTGAAAAATTACCTGTAAAGCTCTCTCTAACGTGGTTTTTTTGTTTTTGTTTTTTAAATGAGCCTTGGCTTACTATAGTAGCATGTTAAAAGCTACTTGAATTTTGAAATGTAAACTGCTTTGGTTTTATCAGAGTATTCATTAACATATGGTTGCCTCTCCTGTTTTAAATTTCTTTTTTATTTTAAGAAAAACAGCATTTCTTTCTTATTCTTGTTTCCAATCCACTGATACGAAAGTAGAGTTATTCTTTAAACACATACTAAATCTCCTTCTTATCAGTTGTATTTATAACAGGTGATATTAAAGAAAGCTGTTGCCAGATTGCTGCTTCTCATAAAAGCAGGTTGTACTAAATTTTCCTTTCTCTCTTAAGATGAAATCTTTAATACTTTTCAACATACATCTTCATTTTAAGGCTTTTGCCATTTTTAAATATGAAGAAAGGAAAGAAACTGGAAGGGATCTTTGAGATCATACTGCTTCATTTTATAGAACCTTAAGCTTAGGAGGCGCTCTGGTGGCATAGTGATTAAAGCATGGGCATCTAAAAAAAAAAGGTCGGCGGTGTGAACCCACCAGCTGCTCCATGGGAGATGTGGCAGGCTGCTTCCATAAAGATGTATAGTCTTAGAAACCCTGTGGGGTGGTTCTACTCTGTCTGGTAGGGGCACTTGGAGTCAGAATCAACTCAGTGGCAGTGTGTTAGGTTTTGTTTTTAAGCTTAGAGTAAGTTTGCAAAGCTAGTATGTTGCAGAGCTCATGTAAAACCTAGGTTTAGAAACTTAAGACTCTAGAAGAATTATATTGTCTTCCATTATAGTGTTTATCTACATGGTGTGTGCTTTCTTCCTGTGCAGAATGCATAGCCTTAGTTTTTCTTATAGATAGCAGAATATTAACTATAAAAAGGTATTTGATTTTCTGTGAGTATATTTTGACTTACTGTTTAAAGAGGAAGCCCTTACTTCACATTCAGAAGCTAAAGAATTATTTTATATACCAATTTCTAGGCTATATTGTCAATTTTGGTCTATAGGGTGGGATATTGACACATGGAAGCTTAGAATAAATAAATGAAGGAAACAAAGTGAGCCTTCTCTGATCCATGAAGTAGCATCTAGAAGATTTCATGGTTAAGTAGACCTTAAAAGGAGATGAGTAGTCTGTTTATTTCTAAAAGATTTTAACTTCTCTGTCTTCATAGTTAAGATCTGTCGCAACATAAAAGTATATAAAAAGTCTTAAAATGTTAGTAAGTGCTTTTTGGGAGAGAATTTTAGACCAGGCAAGGGGGTCCCTCGGTTTTCCTGGATTCGTACTTTGTACATTCCATGTTCGGATTATAATTGGGCATTTGCAGCTGTTTTTTCTCATTTTGAGTTTTGCCACATCAGTAAATAAAGGTCCTGAGAGCTTTACTCTGTAAGTTTTTCATAATATTCCTTTGTGATAGCTGTAGTTTTGTCCTGTATTTTATTCCTGATAGTATTTTTTTTCTTGCCCAGTCTTGTGTATTAGTTTTACAATCCTTTGCAAGGGATCAACATCTGTCTTTGTTTATTTTTCCTTTATTATTTGTCTCTTCCTAGTTTATTGATTTCCACTCTATTATTTCCTAGCTTCTCACTCTCTAGCTCCTTATAGTGATGGTTTAGATAATTCATTTTAGACTTATTTTCATTTCAAATATAACTCATGAATTATTTAGAAATCTGTTGTTTAGTTTCCAAATATTACAGATTTTTAAAGAAAGTTTCCTGTTACTGATTTTAGTTTAATTCTGTTGTGATTAGAGAACATGCTGTATATACTTCTTTTTTTTTTAAATGAGACTTGTTTTATGGTCCAGTGTATTGTGAATGTTGATGTGAACGTGAAAAGAATGTGTTGACTGTACAGTGTCAATTTGGCTTGATTGGTAGTGTTGTTCAGGTTCAGTATATCCCTACTCACTTTCTGTCTAATTGTTCTTAAACTCCTGAGAGTGAACTGTTCAAGTTTCTAACCATAATAAAACCACTCACTGCCATCAAGTCTATTCCGACTTATAGCAACTCTCATTGGGTTTCCAAGGCTATAAATCTTTATAGAAGCAGACTGCCCCCTTTCTTCCACAGAGTGGCTGGTGGGTTTGAACCACTGACCTTTTAGTTAGCGGCCAGATGCTTTAACCACTACATGAAATCACAAGAGAAATCAGAATATATTTTTAAATAAATAAAATTAATAATAGAAAGTGTTAAATTTGTTGGGTGCAGCCAAAATAGTGCACGAAGGTGAATTTTTAGCTTTAAATGCTTATATTGTTATGAACTGTCCCTTTTTGTCCCTGGTAATACTCCCTGTTCTGATGTTTACTTTGTCTTATATTGACATAGCCATTTCAGCTTTCTTATGGTCAGTGTTTACATGGTATCTGTTTTTTCATCCTTTTACTTTTAACTTTATACAGGCAGTTCTCACTTTGCAAAAGTTCTTTGGTACCTGAAATTTAATCTCAGTTCAAACCATGCAAAGCAAGGACTACCTGCATTTAAAGTTGGTTTCTTATAGATGTCTTGCTCTTAATAGTCATCTGACCATCTCTGCCTTTTAATTGTTGTGCTTAAACCATTTGCATTTAATGCAATTCTTAATATGATTAGGTTAAATTTTACCATATGACTACTTTTATTTTTGGAAGGAAGACTGGGCAGTCTACTTCTGTAGTGATACTGCCTTGGAAACCCAAGGAGGGGTCACTATGAGTCGGGTCTGACTTGACGGCACATAACAACAACAACTTTTATTTATTTGTTTATCCAATTTTTCTTTTTCTACCTTCTTTTGGATTAATCTATATTCTTAGGAAACTGGAAATACTGATTTATTAATTGTATCATTTGTTTTATTTTTTAAGAATTGCTCTAGCGTTTATAGTATGTAGTTTTAACTTATTACAACCTACCTTCACATGATACTTTAGCACTTTACATATAATTTAAGAATTTTACTTATATTTTCTTTCTCCCTTTTTTTATGCTGTTATTTTTATAGGTTTTATTTCTACTGGTGTTATAAATCCTATATAAGTTACTATTTCTCCCTTACATGGTCAATTAGCTTTTGAAAAATATTGAAATGAGAAAAAAATATCTTTTGTATTTATTCACATATTTACTCTTTCCAGCAATCTTGATTCTTTTGTGAAGATAACAAGTTTTTAATCTCGTACTCTTCATAGGGATTACTTTTTGTAGCTCTTTGTGATGGTCTTCTCATTTGTTGGCAGTTTCAGCTCCGAGTTTGAAAAGCATTGGAATTACGTTGTAAATGTCTTGTAAAACCATACATAGTTTTCACTTACAAGGTAGCTGATATTATGGCTGAGGGGATTATTATGGAATTTTTTTGTTACTATTTTTGGAAGTCTTAACTATTTTGTTTGTTTTTTGTTTTTGTATTTATGTTTCATCACGCTTAGAAACTCCCATTATGAAGGAAGCAGAAGTTCTGACAGAAAACCAGGTTCTTCTTAATAGTACTTACGAGAGTCCAAGTCAACATGTTAAAGTGACTATTAGAAATTTCTCAGAAGCCAAGCATAAGAGCCCAAGGAAAAGTTTTAAAAAGATAAATCCTAAGCAGAAAAAATACCACAACTCTCAAACATTGTTTAAACCAAGAACACACCATCCAAATCTCCTGGAAATGGTAAATAAGTTTTCTTTACATTCTGACCTTTGTAAAGTTCTCACGTTATAAAGATGGAGCCATTAGGTTCCCCATGCCCTCAGTGTATGCATTATGTGTGTTTAAGGTTACTGCAGACATACGTGAAAATTGGTCTACGTATCTTAGTTCTGAAGCTGTATTTGACATGTAGCTGGTGTTCATTACATGTGGAATAATTACACATTTGTTCAGAACTGCTTAAAATAATCCAAATTTGACTGATTGGTAAAGAAATAGTGATGTTTACTGACATTTTAAAAGTTTTTCTTGAAAACATAAATAAAATTGCAGACTAAAGGGAGAAAGGGGTTTTTAATACAAATAATCTGTTCAGAAATAAGAAGTAATAGAAAAGACCTAAGTTTTCTTTATGATTCTCATTTATTCCCTTTGGGGACTTGTCATTCTTTTTTTCTATACCTTTTTTATCCTTAATCTCATTTATCAAGGATTCAGTCAGAGTATTTATTTATTTATATTTTGTATATGCACCATTGATTTTATTCTCAGCATGATGTGCTCAAAAAAGTAGTATCTTTCCTCAAATAACAAAGAGGAAGCAGTGCATTTTTAGATTTTAAATAATGGACATGAAGCTGTTAGAAGATTTTCATGTTGGATGATAGTATTCTGAATTTTTAAATGAAATTGGAAAAGTATTGACATTCTATGAAAATGTTCTTGGCTCATCAGGTAAGTACTTGTGCTGTAAAGGGTCTGATGGCTACACTGTATGTTATGTGCAGACTTGATCACTTATTAAAATGGAGCTGAAGTCTTCTTTTGTAATTTTCTGTGCTATATAAATTGCATTTTTAAAATATTTATCATACTTCACAATTAAGTCATCTTTTCACTAAAGGTTTCTAAGTTATGTATTCAAACTACATTAATAACATCAGAAAATAAACTGAGTAAGTTACTGTTCTGGTTGCCTAGTGCCACTCTGACAAGAATATACCACAAATGGGATGCTTGAACAAACAGAAGTTAATTCTCTTACAGTTCAGGAGGCTAGAAGTCCGAGTTCAAATTGCCAGGCTCTAGGGGTAGGGGCTGGGTGAAAGCCCCTCGACCTTGGGCTTCAGCTCTGCCTCCTGCTCCTGGCCCACTGGAGCTAGAAGAGGCTTTTCTTCACTCAGGCAGCTACTGGCTGCCGAGGCTAACAAGCCCAAGGTTGACAAATAAAATGGCACAGTCCCGATGTTACCAAACCACACAGCAGGCCATTCATTCAAGTCCACTGTAAGTCCTAAGGTCGTTAGAGCATGGCAGCCTGCTGAACAACAACATGGCTACATGCAGGGTCCAAGCATGCCATAAGCTGGAGATGATCCCCAAGGCTTCTCCTTGTGTACGGGAAGCAGATGACATTCCCTAAGGCAGCTACTCAGCTGCTTGTGGTAGATCCCACCTTGGAGTTGATTGCCAGTACCACCAGCTGCCCAGCCACTCGACCAGGCCCAGCCAAGTTGACATGCAAATTTAACTACCACAGTTACTTTATTCCTTTTTGGCAAATATGTAATTTCCTGGTCATGTACTAATTCTACACTTCAAGAATTTTTAGCTTTCTTCCAAAAATTTGAAGTTATGAAAGTCAAGGACTGTTGAGTTTTGGGTTTGTTTTACTAATAATTTTATCATCATTGTATTTAATGTGTCTATTTAACTTATCATTTCTATTTAGATTAAAGGATTACAGACTTTTAAACCATTTTTTTTTTTCCTATTTGTTAGATACTTCTAAAAGATCCCCATATGTGAACATTTGTACTGTTTAAAAAGCTAGATAATCTTTGTGTAGGTTAAATGCTCTTGCATTATTTACTACATATATATATTACATCTTACTCTTCCGTGTTCTTTATGTGGTAAAAGCACACTTAATATTTTAGGTTGTGTTTCTCAGATATGTTTTATTTACCAGCTGTTCCTTCTGTTGTTTTTCAGCTTTTGGCTCCAGACATTAGACATGAAAGAAATGTGATTTTACAGTGTGTTCGGTACATTATCAAGAAAGACTTTTTTGGACTTAAAACAAACTCTGTGAAAACAGAGGCTGTCTCAGTGTCTGAGGTTTCAGCCTGCAAAACTGAAGATGTACAGTAGTGCTGTCCTCAAGTTAGGGAGGAAATCCTTTTTTAAAAAAAAAGAAAAGAAACCTACCAATGTAGTTAAATTGTAAGCCTCGTGAAATACTATGTTGGATTTTTAAATCATTTCTTTAAATCTATGCTAATAAATATGTAACTGATTCCTAAGACTGTGTCTTTTTTTGTTAGAATTACACGTTTTATACCCAGAGTTTTACTTTGTATTTGTGTATGTATTACCATCATGTAAGGAAATGTCTGCTGTTGGAGCAGTGAAGAATTTGAAGACATTGGTTTAGTAGGAAAGAGCAAACAATTTAAGAAGTTTAATTCAGCTAAACAGAGTTAGAGGTTTTGTTGTTGTTGTTGTTGTTGTTATGTAACGTCGAGTTGGACCTGGCTCATAGATAGCGACCCTTCCTTGGGTTTCCGAGGCGGTATCACTACGGAAGTAGATTGCCCAACCTCCCTTTCGAGGAGTGGCTGATGGGTTTGAACCACCAGCTTTCTGGTTAGCAGCCTTAGGCACTACAAGTATAGCCATTTTGTTTTTAATGCAGAAAGGAAAGAGTTGTTCTTTATAACAAGGAGAGCTATTTGTTTTTTTTTTTTTAAAAAAAAAAAAAACAGAGACCAAATTAATACATTAAAAGATCTTGAAGTTTAAATTTTCCCTGTTTATTTCAAAGGATATATTTAAATTCACCTACTAGCACCGCCTAAGTAGCTCACGTATTAAAAATCTGAAGCATTAATATAGATGTGGTCTCTGTGTTTAGATTAATTGGAAATTCTGCTTTTTTGAATTGGAACTTTTTCCCCCTGTGAAAAAGTTCATAAAGTATAGTACTCAGTAAAGGTCAACTCATTCCTTATAGCGGCAGAACTCATTCCTTATAGCAGAAAAGTGAAAAAATTTGTCTTAAAAGAGGTAAAGCCACAATGCTGATTAGAAGTGAGAATGGCCAAACTCTGTCTCTTATATTTTGGTCATGTCAGAAGAGACCAATCCCTGGGGAAGGGTATTATGGTTGGTTTAGTAGAAAAGGGAAAGGCCCTCAACAGTGGTTTGTGGAATAATGGTAGCTCAGTTTGAAGGTTTACTAAATATTCTGCCTAAGAAGGTAGCAAAAGGTGAACCCTTACAAAATTTTTAATAAATAAGAAGTCTTTACATGTTTTGTCTCCTGTAAGATCAGAGATTTGATCTTTAATTACTTAAGCTAGCCAGAACTCTACTCTTTCAACATAGCTAAAAGGGACTAAGTTTTTAAATATTACTGATTTTTAGTTGAAAAGTTTATTTTATCTGACATTGTGACTATGAAGTTGATGAGTCTTACCTACAAGAAAAGCAAGAAAGCGAGAAAGCTGCTGACAGCTATAAAGAAAGACTTCCCACTCCTCTTCTAGCAAGATCCAGAATCCTGGAACCCCTGACACATAATACTAGTGACATCAGGGATTCACAGGTTAAAATTGACATCTAGGTCATTGCTTCCAAACTTTGTAACCACCATACAGACTTTTTTCAATTTCTTTTCATCCCTAAATCTCCAGTGAGCCCCAAGTTTTGAGAAATTGCCTACTACGTTAATTAATTCAGTTCATATAGCATTGCTGAGTGCTTTCCGTATTATTATGCAAATAACACATTACAAATCATGCACCCCACTCATATCTTAGTTTCCTATGCACGCTATGTGCATTATATGCATGTGCTTGTTATTTATGTGGGCGTGTTATATGCAAAAAATCAATACTTACATGTCACCACAGTAATGAGTGAAGCCATGCCTGACTTCAAGGAACTCAGTTTTCATATTTGTATTAATCCAAGATGTAATTCCCAGTCTTCTTAGTAAATAACGTTACTAAGCAGTCAGGATAGAGTCAAGGGGATGTTGCATGGTTTAAGATCAAGGAAGGTGTGGGTCAGGGCTGTATCCTTTCACCATACTTATTCAGTCTGTATGCTGAGCAGATAACCTGGGAGGCTGGATTATATGAGGAAGAATGCAGCATCAGGATTGAAGGAGAAGACTGTTAGTCTGCAATTTGCAGATAATACAACCTTGCTTACTGAAAATGAAGAGTTGAAGTACTTACTGATGAAGATGACAGCCTTCAGTATGGATTACACCTCAACATAAAAAAGTTCTCACAACTAGACCAATTAGCAACATCATGATAAATGAAGAAAAGATTGAAGTTGTCAAGGATTTCATTTTATGTGGATCCACAATCAATACCCATGGAAGCAGCTGTCAAGAATTCAAACAAAATATTGCACTGGGCAAATCTGCAGAAGACTTATTTATTAAAGTGTTAAAGAGCAAACACGTCGCTTAGAAGACTAAGGTCCTGCTGACCCAAGCCAGTTTTCAGTAGCCTCAAATGTGTGTGAAAGCTGGACAATGAAGACGACCGCAGAAGAATTGATGCATTTGAATTATGGTGTTGGCAAAGAATGTTGAATACATGATGAACTACCAGAAGAAAATAAATGTGTCTTAGAAGAGTTAGACAGCCAGAATACTCCTTAGAAGTGAGAATGGCCAGACTTTATCCCTTGTGCTTTGGTCGTGCTGTTACTTAGAAGGGACCATCCCTGGAGAAGGATATCGTGCTTGGTTCAGTGAAAAAAGGGGAAGAACTCTCAAGGAGATGGATTAGCATAGTGGCTGCAACGATGGGCCTAAACATAGCAATGATTGTGAGGATGGCACAGGACAGGGTAGTGTTTCCTTGTACTGTTCATGTACAGAACTCTGAGTCAAAACTGACTCAACGGCACATAACAAGTAGATATTCTAAAACAAGACTTTGTAGACTGCAATGTCATCACTAGATAGCACACAAATTCCATAGGCTTAAAATACGTAAATGAATTCCCAGACCCCTGAGCTACTTTCAAGGACCACCATCCTCCAGAGACCACTCTAATGGATATTGGGTAAACAAGTTTATTTCTGCTTTTTTTATTTTGTAATAAAACGAATTTAAGACTAAATGTTCCTCGTGAGTACTGCTTTGGCTGTATCTGTCAGTAATTTCTAATGAATAATTTCAGATTCAATTGCCTTTATATACTCAACCAGGCATTATTTCAAACCATGTTTAAACTTTCCAAGTGGTTAGAATGTAACCTATATGATTTTTCTACATATATATTGTGGATTAATATAAATATTCTGAGTTTTTTTGGGGGGTAAGGGATGTCTTCTCTGTCTTGGATATGAGGTTTCATTATACTGGATTTAGCTTGCTATTTGTTTAAAACTTCCACATCCTCATTGTCCATTTAATCAATTGATTTCCGAGATGTGAAAACATTAAATGAAAGCTGGTGGTTGTGCCTTTCATCACTATAAAAGGCTTTTTTTCTTCCTCAATACTTTCTGCATTGACTTCTATTATCTCCAGCTAATACAAGAGCTCTGGTGGCACAGTGCCTAAGGTGCTTCACTGCTAACCAGAAGGCAGCGATTCAAACCCACCAGCCACTCCTCTGAAGGAAGGTTGGGCAATTTACTTTCCGTAGTGATATCGCCTCAGAAATCCAAGGAGGGATGGCTGTGAGTTGGATCAAACTTGATGGCAGTGAGTTTGGTTTTGATTTGGTAATACAGTCAAAACAGCTTTTTGAGGGTTCAGTCTAAGAATTTCTGGGGAACTTAATCCATTTATATTGACTGAGTTGCTGAAATGTTTGGACTTATCCCTGCCATCTTATATTTTCTATATACTGTGCTTTCATACTAGGAGCTCTGGTGGCATAGTGCCTAAGGCATTGGACTGCTAATCAGAAGGCTGGTCAGCTACTCCTCGGAAGGAAGAGTGGGCAATCCACTTCTGTAGTGATGTTGTTGTTAGGCACAGTCGAGTGGGACCCGATTCATAGTGACCCTCCCTTGAGTTTCCGAGGCGGTATCTCTACGGAAGTAGATTGCCCCATCTTCCTTCCGAGGAGTGGCTGGTGGGTTTGAACTTCCAGCCTTCTGGTTAGCAGTCAAATGCCTTAGGCACTATGCTT